GTTGACTTGAGCTTTTTACAGCTCAGCATATTAATATTGCTTTACTTTTTATGTCTGGGAGTTTGTGATTAAAAACTACAATCCTCTCTCATGAGCTGGGCAGCCTGGGTGAACCATGGCTCCTGGCTGTCCCTGAATCATAAGGGGGTCTGATAGTCTACAGTGCTCTCTATTGCTCAGCTGTGATATTTGATAGGTGCATTACAAGTCATTTTTCTTTTTTTTTTAAATGCATTTAGTACAGGGTCTACAGAATCTCACTACACAGATTGGACTTGTAATGACCCTCTCTGTCTTTCAGCCTCCCAAGTTCTGGGATTACAGGCACACCCCACCATGCCCAGTCTCAATCCCTGTCCCAGCCCACCGTAGGCGCATGGCCAGCAGGTGCTTTAATCCACTGAGTTATCTGACTGCCAGGAGATGGCTCAATGGATTAAGCACTTCCCTGGCAAGTGCAAGGGCCTGAGTTCAATTCCTGGTTCCACCAAAAAATAAAAAAATAAAAAATAAAAACCTTTTCTTGTTTTATTTGGTGTTCTGAGACAGGGTCTTGCTATGTAGTCCAGGCTGGCCCTGAATGCACCATGGGCCCCACGCTGGCCTTAAACCCTCAGCAATCCTCGTCAGAGTGCTGGAATTACAGGGGTGCACCACTATGCCCAGTTTACAAGCATTTTCAATTTGCAATTGATTTATCTTGATGTCATCCCATTATAAGTCAAAGTGTGTGTAAGCTATTTCTCATAGTCTGGTCTCCGGAAAAAATAGGTCTTTTTCAGAGTTCCTTGATAATTGAAGCATCATATGAAAACTCTCTCAATGGAGCCACCCGCAGTCACATCTGCAGTCATACCAGTGGCCTCAATTCCAGCTGCACATTGACAACATTCTCTCTCTCTCTCTCTCTCTCTCTCTCTCTCTCTCTCTCTCTCTCTCTCTCCTTCCTCCCCTTCTCCCTCCCTTCCCTCCTTTTTTTAAAACACATCAGCTTTTTTTCTTTTTCTTTTTTTGGTGGAACCAGGGATTGAACTCAGGCCCTTGTGCTTGCCAGGGAAGCACTTATTCCACTGAGCCATCTCCCTGCCCCAACACATCAACTTTTAAGGTATATCAACAACAATTGGACCACAGTAGTATAACAGTTTAAAAGTTCCTCAGGGGGCCCATGAGATAGCTGGGGTGAGCGAGATAGCTCAGCAGTCTAAAGTGCCTGCGTAGGCAAGCTTAGGCAGGCACAGAGGGTTGCAGTTCAATCCCTGGCACCACATGCTGTGCCAGCCCCGCCCACAGAGCAGGTTGAGCCAGCCAAAAATAAAAATAAATAAAAGTTCCCCAAGCCAGACATGGTGGCACACACCTGTAATCCCAGAACTCAGGGAGCTGAGGCAGGATTGCTGTGAGTTCAAGACCAGCCTGGGCTATCAAGTGAACTCAAAGCCATCCTGAACTGCATAGGGAGACCTTCTTTCAAAAAGCCAAAACAAAACAAAAGTTTCCTAGGCAATTCTGATGGGCATCACTAGACCTGTTCCTGTTGAGAATCACTGGACTTCACACATAAAATCCCCTTAATGAGCCCTCTTTTACTCCAAGCACCACTCAAATTGCCTATTTCTTTTTTTTTTTTTTTTTCTTCCGTATTTAGTACAGGGTTTACAGGGTTTCACCACACAGATTGGACTTGTAGTAATCCTTCCTGTTTTTCAGCCTCCCAAGTGCTGGGATTACAAGCATGCTCTACCACGCCCAGTCTCAGAGCCTGGACCAGAGCAGTGGGCTGGGGAGCCAACCCCAGGACCCTGCATCTATCTGCCTAAGCAGGTGCTTTAATCCACTGAGTTATCTGGCTGGCCCTTCAAATTGCCTATTTCTTATAGATATTTTGACTCCTTCTTTTTTGTGGCTGTGTAAATCACATCTACTATGAGCACAGTTTATTCAGTCTAAGTAGATGATTTTAGTTAATTTGCATATTAGTTTATAAAAATATTATTTTCCATATAACCTGCAATTTCAAATAAAAAAACTCTTTTCATGAAGTCTTCCTCAAATCATGTCATGTCTGCCAATGTACATTAATTATTTGATTTTCTTTTGCTTCTGTTTTCAGCAATATAAAGTTGAAAAAAATCACTTTCAGTACAGCAGACCTTAAAGTTCTGGATGTTCTATTCATTTTTTTAAAAAAATTAATGACTAAGTTGGTAAAATCAAGAATTCTTTTTTTTTTTTTTTTTTTTTTTTTTTTTTTGGTGGAACCAGGGATTGAACTCAGGCTCTTGCACTTGCCAGGGAAGCGCTTATTCTACTGAGCCATCTCCCAGGCCCAAGAATTCTTTATGGAACAGAATATCAAATAAATATAAACAAGGGCCAGTGGTATAGCTCAGCGGACTAAGCGCTTGCTTAGGTAAGTGCAGGGGCCAGGGCTCAATCCCTGGCTCCACATGCCGCGCTGGCCCTGTCCCCTGGGCATGCTGAGCTGGCGATGGAGTCCGGGCTTGGAGGTGCACACCTGTAATCCCAGCACTAGGGAGGCAGAAATCAGGAGGATCATTACAAGTCTGGGCTGTGTATTGAGGGCTATCTGCCAATCCTTGGTGGTTTAGAGTGTAGGATTCAGTGGGTTGCAGTCTGGATTTCTCACATAGCAAGTGGTAAAATATAAAACCCCTAAACCAAACCAAGGACAGCACCCTCTGCAGGTAAAGCAGAGAAATATTTGCAATGCAGATTAAGATAGCGAGGATTAAACCTAGCATGGTGGCACAGGCCTGTAATAGCATTTGAGAGGCTGAGGCAGGAGGATCTTTGTGAGTTCAAGACCAGCCTGGGATGAAAAGTGAGCTCAAGGTCAGCCTGAATTACACAGTGGATACCCTGTCTCAAAAAAAAAAAAGTGATTCACTCCTGTCCAAACCTGTCCTGTTATCAAATCTGACACCATGTGATTTCTGGCTCTTCCCCAAAGTAAAAATGACCATGAAAGGCAAACACTTTGAGTGACTCAGGATACCGAGGCAACCACAACAGGACAACTAATGACATTCAGAAAGAGGACTTCCAGAACTGCTTTAGAAAGTGGAAGGAATAATGGGATATATGTGTTTGAAGCAAGGAGCATTCTGGCAGGATTAATTACGTCTTTTTTTGTTTGTTTGTTTTTGAGACAAGGGCTTGCCGTGTAATCCAGCCTAGCCTTGAACTATGTAGCATAAACTGGCCTTGAATTTGTGGCAGTCCTCCTGCCCCACTCTCCCAAGTGCTGGGATTACAGGTGTCCACCACCACATCCAGCATCCAATGTGTCTTTCATTTTAATACATGTTTAAACATTTAAATTTCCACTGTAGTTTTCAATTACATGTTGTACAGCAGACAGCCAATTAAGTTGCATGAGGCTTGGCATGGTGGTACACACTTAATATCCCATGACTCCAAAGGGGTATAGCTGTGAGTTCCAGGCCAGCCTGGGATATAAAGTGAGGCCAGGCTAAAATGCATAATGAAACCTTGTCTCAAAAAGACCAGAAAATAATTAATAATAATAATAATAATAATAATAATAAAGTTGCATGAATGTCTAGGTAACTAAGAAGTGTTTCTCTCAGAGTAGTGTCTCCATCTTGTGGACTTTTAGAATACTGTACTTTCGTTTATATTTTTTTAACGAGTTTTCTTCAGAGAATTGATGGTCCAGTGCTATTTCCCAAAACTGTATCAGAGGATATTTTTACTTATTTATTTATATTGAGTCCAGGGCTTTTGTACTAAGCTACATTCTGAACCCTTAAAAGTTTTTTTTTTTTTTTTTTTTTTTTTTGCTATTATTGAGTTTACTGGTACAATTTAGATATACACATTGATCATACTCCTCACAGGGAATTTGTGATGCATATCTTGTACGTAATATATCTTTATATCTTGCACGTAATATGTCTTGGCATCTTTTTCTCCCATTCCCCTCCCCTCCAACCCCTCTATCCCTTCTTATTCATAAAGCTTTATTTCCATTTTAATCTTCTTTTCCCTTATGCTATTTTATTTTGACACAGTCTCTCTAAATTCCCCCGGTGGCTTTGAATTTGCAGGCTGTCTCAGGCTTCAAGAATACTGGGATTACAGGCCTAGGCCATCAAATCCGGTTTACAGTGGTTTATCTATTTTGGCTGCTGACACTTCTGATTTATTTAGTGCTTTAGAACAGCCCTGCCAGCCTCACGAAGGCGATCTGGCCACCTACTCTGTTTGCTCGGGGGACTGAACTGCGTTAGGTCCACATCTTGTTATTCCCACTTTGTGAAAAGATAGACCAGAAACCCATGGCCAAGCTCTTGGCTTAGAACGAGCCCCACATAGTTAAATCCCCTTCCTGGGAGCATTCATGTAACTAAGGGGTCTGTCACGCACCGGTCCCTACTCCTCTTAGGTGGTGGCTAAACTAGAAATTATGGAGACATAGTCCCTGCCAAAAGCAGGGCAATTTATACTATTATAAATCTCACGTTTGCTTGTATATGGTTTTACGTACACAATCTGGAATAGTTTTTTTTTTTTTAATATCAAATGAAGAATTAGTTTGCTAGTCAATCTACCTCTTTTTTGTACATGCACTGAGGAAGCGAACACTGAATCTACCTCTTACGGAAAGCTCATTGAGCAGAAATGGACAAAAACAGAAGAAACGTTTTTAGTCCAGTACGATTATAAACGGAACGATCCCGGCGCTTTCTAGGTTCGACCTCAGCCCTCACTATCCCAGCCGCCTAGGCTGGAGGCCGGAAGTCTGGAAGCGACGCGAGCCGCTCTTCCCCGCGTCTCCACTCTATGATTCTCAGGTTACTCTTGCCACGAAGCACTCGATGGTTCCGGGGCGGGCTGGCGGGTCTGAATTTGAAGAGCGGCGGGAAGCAGTTGGTGACATCTGTCACTAGGCCGGGGTTCTCCCGAGAACGGGGGCGCTGGGGCTATGCTGCGCTCTACACAACCGACGAGGAATGAGTCTTCCGCGCCGGAGTGGGAAGCGGCGGCGTTCCGCATCGGACTCAGACTCGTTCCCCGGGAGCGGCGGTGACCGCGGCGTCAGTCCGCAGCGCCCAGCCGGGCTGGTGCTGAGTCCGCCCCCGGGCCTGGGGCGCAGCCCGGCGGCCGCAGGTGCAGGTGCTTCCCGGGGCGCGCGCCC